TAAAGTGAATTAATATTAATTAATTAACGAGCTTCTTAATCTTAACAAAATAAAATAATCAACTTAATTATAAACTAATTAATTTAGCACTATAAACGACTAAATAACCCAATATTTAAATAAAGCTAAAATCCTTTTGAGACAATTTTTGAACATTCGTAAAATATATTAATTAGACACATAATTATATAATAATTAACTTAATTATAAATTAACTAATTGACTCAAAATTGTAAACTATTAGATAACTAAACAAACTAATCAAATATCTAATTGAACAAAATCTTTTTGAGACGATTTTCCAATATTTATGAAATACACTAATTATATACATAATTGTATAAAAGACATATTATTATTTAAAAATTATAACAAGTGACAAACTATTTGAAACAACTTGCAAATTATTCTATTATATATTTATTCAAAATTTCTAAAAATTAATTATTTTAAATCGTTTTTGAAAAATTAAGAAGTTCAGAAATTAATTATTATCGGGGAGGGTCAAAATTGAGTGTCAACAATACGTCATTTTAAATATTTTAGTAGCGGCGGTTCGGACTTAAATTACGACGGTTCAAACAGCCATTAATATTTTTAAAAATTTAAAATTTACCCAACAAAATTATTATATCCTTTGATTTACTCATTTATTTATTAAAGTAGTCTAATTTGTCCAACTATATTTATTACCATCTTTTCCTTACATTTAAATTTTCCTTAAATTTTCTCATCTATTTTAGTATATTTAACTATTATTCTCCTTTCCTTAATAATTATAAATATTAGAATATTAAATATTTATTACTCAAATGCAATAAAAAAAGCAATTTGCCTAATTTCGGCGCTGACAGCCATTTAAATTGCTAATTACTAAAATTATTTTATTCTTATTTCCTTATTTCCTTATTTACTTCCTTAGTTCCTTACTTCAAAGCATTTATGCTCTGTAGCCGAAGGATAAAGAAAGCTCTCAATCACTCAATTTCTAATTTGGTGGGATATTGAGCTCTCAATCACTCAATAAATCAAGCTCAAATCACGGTAAGCTCTCAATTCACTTTAATTAACACTCAATTCACTGTAAATTTACAATGTAAGCTCTCAAACCTCAACCAATTGTAAGTTTTTTGAGTGAATCTGAATTTTTTATGAATCTATTTATCATCTATTTGTTTGAGTTTGTAGAGATTTGTTTGGGTCATGCATGTTTGAGTTTGTCGCGATTTGTTTGGGTCATGCATGTTTGAGTTTGTAGCGATTTGTTTGGGTCATGCATGTTTGAGTTTGTAGCTTTTAATTGTTGTTATATTTATGTACAATTTTGTAGAGATTTGTTAGGGCTTTTAATTGTTGTTATATTTTCATACTATTCTGTAGAGATATGTTAGGGCTTTTAATTGTTGTTATATTTCTGTACAATTCTGTAGAGATTTGTTAGGGCTTTTAATTATTGTTATATTTCTGTATTATTCTGTAGAGATTTGTTTGGGGTTTTACTTTTTGTTATATTTTTGTACAATTCTATAGAGATTTGTTAGGGGTTTTAGTTTTTGTTATAGTTCTATCTTATTCTGTAGAGATTTGTTGTTATAGTTTGATTTTGCATGTTATAGTTTAGTTGTAGTCCAAAGAGGAGCCTTACAGAAATACTGAAGTTATGATCTAGAGTTCACTTTCTTTTCCAGTTTCGAGCCTTAGAGTTCACTGAAGAAAATTCTCAGTAATTTTGGCATTTGATAGGTTCTATTTTTACTTTGATTGTTTGGGATGTAGATTGAGAATCTGATAGTGATGATGTAATATACAAAATACTAGATATGAGTTCTGCAAACTAGTTAGTGAACTACAGTTCTTTTACTCAATTAAATAAGAAAATTAGAGTATTTTTCTTGAAAATAAGGAATTCAAACTGTTAGCATTACAATTAGAGTATTTTTCTTGAAAAGCTTAGTTGTTATTTACACTTTTCATTTTGATATTATTTAATTTTAAGTTGAATTGCTATGTCGTTCTTTCTAGCCATGTCAATTGATAAATCTTGGATTGGCAAGCCAAGAAATACTCCTAAATATGTAGATGGGGTTAGAAACTTTCTGAATTTTGCCTTTGAGTATGGATCTATTGACGGACATGTAATTAAGTGTCCATGTTCGAGGTGTGGCTTCAATAAGTGGCATGAAAGAGATGTAGTTCAAGAACACTTAACTTTAATGCCTTTTCCAGAAAATTATAAATTTTGGTATTTGCATGGTGAAAATTCAAATGCAACTATAACACAAACATTTCAGAGTACACGTGCTGTAGAAGAGACCTTGCAGCCCCATAGTCCAATGGAATTCATGGTTAATAATGCTTCTAGGTTCATTGAAAACAATATCAATGTACCTGATGTGTCTTGTGAGCCTATAAATGGAGAAAAAATATTTAAAAAAGAGCATACTGAAAGGCAGGATGAAGATTATGCCAAGTTATTTGAATTGATTGAAGATGGCAAGCAACCATTATACGAAGGGTGTAAGAAGTATTCCAAATTGTCCTTTCTAATCAGATTGTATCACATAAAGTGTTTGTGCCGAATGACTGACAAAGCGATGGGTATGATATTGGAATTGTTAAAAGATGCCTTTGAAGATGCCAAGATTCCTGCTTCATTTTATGAGGCCAAGAAAACCATCAATAAACTTGGTCTTAATTATACCAAGATACATGCTTGCCCAAATGACTGTATGTTATATTTTGGAAAAGACGATGAAGGCTTGCAAGAATGCAAAAAATGCAATGACCATGTTTTTTTTGTAGTGACGTCTATTCACTTGGAATAATATACTTTGTGGCTAATTTGATTGGCATTGTCAATGGAATTCTGTGGACAGAGATGATGTTGATCTTACTGAGAAGCAAGAATTTACCATTGTGATGAAGAATCCACTACGAGCTCGTATATATATGTTCTAGAAGTAACTATGTTTTCTGGTTCTTTCGCCATCAACTTTTATAGGACGTGTGTGTCTACTTGTTCAATTCTATACAAGTTTAAGTGTCTACTTGTGCACACCTAAAATTAAAGGACTAAATGCAAGATGAAGCAAGTTAAAGATATTGTTTATGTATTATTTGAGCAAAAGTTTTAAGAAAAGGGTAAAATTTGGGAAAAGTTTTGGGAGACTAACAATGTTTCGCTAGGGGTAGAAATTATGGGTGCATATACTGCAAGCGCAGGCAACAAAAGAAGAATAGAATAATCAAACACAATTCACCATGCAACGAAAGTCACGTGGTATTCCTTGTAACATGGATCCAACGGATAGTTAATAGTTTGCTCCTGATTGCGTTTTTGGTGGTATAAAATAAAGGGAAGGTTGTCATGAATTATTAATTTTATTTTCAAATTATTGACGGCCTTAAAAAGTGTTTTTACTTGATTAATTGAACTTAAAATATATTCATGATCTTGCAACATGACTGAAATACAGTCTTAAATTCTTGTCATCAACACTTCTCTCAGTTTTTGATTTTTTATTAACAATCTCATGTTTTTACAAGAATTTGAAACCACTTGTTATGTCATATTGCATACCGAGATTCTATCTAAGTTTAGTTAGTCAAACACAAGGTGTTTTCAAAACTATCAATAGTTCAAAAATGAAACTAATAATTTGTGTCAAATTATATGCGAGGATCTGTGATTCTTACTTTTTTTTGGTGCTGAAATGCTGAAGTTTGTGATTTTTTTGTGTTAAATTTGCACGTTGGGGCGGATTATTATATTAGAAGTATTTAAATGGAGTCCGGAGTCAAAAGAGCAACAAAAATTTTCAAAAATTTCAAAAGGACAACAAAATTAGTTATCAAACCAAAGAGGCAACAAATTTAGACGCCGTTTAAATTAGGTTACCGCCGCAAAAGACGGAAACCAATGCGCCGCAAAACACGAAAACCAATGAAAACTATTACTATTGCACTCTACTACATGTACAATTGTTTAAAGGACAAATTACTTAACTACACTCCTTTACTTACCTTAATATCCATTTATCCCTACTTATTTCAAAAATTTCAAAAATCCTTTATTTACCTATGTATCCCGCATGTATCCCGTGCACAACGCTATATATCCCGCTATATGAAATGTATCAAACCTAATGTATCCCGTGCACAACGTTATGTATCCCTCTATGTGGAATGTATCAAACATAATGTATCACGTACACAACGCTATGTATCCCGCAAACATTATTTTTAAGGGATTTTTGGTAAATAGAAAACTAGAAGGGATAGGATGTTATTTAGTACTTATAATATGTGGTTCCTATAATTTATACTTGTTTAAATGGAAAAATGAATGAGGAGCCGATATGGTGAAGTGAGCCCATGAGTTGGCCCACACAATTCAACAGAAGAATAATCTTTGATAGGAGATCTAAGTAAATATTGATTGTTTTTTTGGTCTAATAAAGAAAATGTACACCTTTAAAGCAAGAGGATACAAAGGCACAAGGAAGAAATATTAGAAAATTCCAAAAATGCCCTTACCATACAAGCAGACATGTTGACGAAGACATTCCTACTTGTAGACACTTCAATTATGTAGTAATATTTTAATATTTTGTTTATATATAATCTATAATGAATTCATCTTCTATCCTTCTAAATTTTATAGAAAGCAACTCAAACATGATATTAATTATACTAATTTTAATAATATGAATAATTCCCTTCCCTTAATTATGCTAATTTTAATAGATGAATAATTTCCTTCCCAACCAACAGCCAAACGACCATTGAGATCATTCTCTGTACTCTAGTTGAAGGAATTAAAATTACTTTCTAATCTAACTAGCAAATTGCACACTTCAAAAGAAGTCAAACATCATCTAATTTTTTGGAACTAGCAAGTGTTTTCTAAAGCTTCATTGTTTAAAACTTAGATTTTGACACAACATTCTAATGCAAATACCAAAAGATTGTCAAAACACAAAAGCACAAGAACACATTGAAAACCTAACTTTTATAACTAATTCAAACTTGTTCTTCACGAGTTATCGGGCTCTTGTTTCAGAACATCTATAATCGAGAAAATTAATCCTATCCACAAAATTGCATGATACATAACATATAACCACTAACAAAAAGAAACTACAAGAACCCACCTCTCCTTTTTAGTAGCGAGACAATACAAAAGTAGATTACAAGCCATTGTTAACTTTCAAGGACGCTGGGACAGAAGAAGAAAGATAGACATTGTCCATCAAGCAGTCAACCAAATGATTCTAATGTACCTTTTGTTATTCTTACTCCACCATTGCATCTGTGGAAGATGCTGTAGCTCGCTTATCAGATTTCCTTTTGCTCTTTCCTGTAACACGTGCGTTTGTAATCATCAATAAGCAAAATCAACGAAGAATCCTTAATACATCAGGAATGATAAATAAAATATAGCAATCCTAGTGTAACTTGCCTTTCTTCTTCAGTTGCTTCATTTTAAGTTTTGAGCTCTTTTTCATCGGAAATTTAACAGGAGCTTTATTGGAGTCTTGAGTTTTCCCTGAAGCAAATAGGAAAATTTCAATCAGTTTGACATAGAACAGACATCCTCTCTACCATGTGCGTAAGGAAAAGAGAGAAGGAACAAACAGAAAGTAGAGCAGATATAGCAACTACCCAAAACACCAGAACTTTTAGCACATCACATAGATATAAGCAACATATATTCATCATAGGAAGCAATGACTCCACTCGTAAGCACAAGCAGCAAAACAACAAAAAGATGAGCCTTTCTACTTACTGAACCAGCAATCTCAACTCTATCTAGGAAATTGATTAGGATTTAGGATCAACATTATAGCACTCTAGCCTAGATCAAATCAAATCCAAGACGTAGATTCACTAGACTATGAATTCTAAGTAGCTCGAGCCAGGGACGGAGCTCATAAGAGAGATTAAATCTCATTCTTTAAAAGATTATAATGCGCAAATGGGATAAAAATCAAACCTTTTTCTTATGACAAGGAAAACCCGCAGCCGCTACCCCTCGGGTGCGCACAGGGTAAAAAACTCGTTCCTATGCAATATCTCGCAAACCACATAGGGGAGGTAACCCGCACTAGGCAAGCCCGGTACGACAAGCTCAACCCAGAAGGCAAACCCCTTGTTTTCGAAATTCTCCATTATGGAAGTCCCAAGGCCAAACCACTTACCACTGGGCAACCTCGAAGGTTATATATAAACTGATGAATCCCATCACCATAAGGAAAAATTGTAACATAGTAATCAAGGGCGTACAAAAGTTGCTTTTAGGTCTCAAGTTCAATCCCAACTATGTCATTCTAGTATGAATCCACTTATATAAATTCACAGTTACGCCACTAGTTCGAGAATCAAATAACATAACACCTTGAAACAGAGATTTCAGTTAATTTAATTCTAATGGATTTCTCTCTCACACATACACAAGATCATAAGCAAAAATGCTGGAGTTCAAAGCTCAAACCCCTAACTTAAACACTAGGTCCGTAGAAACAGCTACAACCGTAACTAACATACCTTCAGCAGCATCAGCCACAGCCATCTCCACATCCTCCATTGTTATCACGCCCTTTTCTATAGCCTCTTTTTGGTCCTGTTTCACATCAATCAACACCCTCAAATCACAAATTCATAATACACGTAAAAAATACAATAAAAAGATGAAAAGGAATTAATATTGATCAATGATTACAGACCCTGCGCCATTTCTTGAAGAGCTTGCGTTTACGCTTCCCGGAGATGGCAAGAGGTTGAGCCTTCTGCTTAAGCTTACGGGTATTTGGGTCTCCATGTTTTGCTCTCTTGCTCTCTGAGATTATTGCTCTTCTCTTCTTCTGCACCTCGTTAAATTTCGCCATTATCCCCAATTTGCCTTCACCTTCGATACTTTTTCTTCTGAAACCCTAGTTTAGTTTCTCTCTGCCACTTTATACGTGTAGGCCGCCGCTTTAGGTTGAACCCCCGGTTTAGTGTTAAATGTACCAAACCCGGTCCACACGCCCCGTTCTATTTATTTAAGGAAAAAAGGTTCGAATATATTCAAACTTTGACCAAAATTGTTTAACAGTTCCAAACAGGACCTATTAACCTGCACTATTTAATAGTGTATCTTAAAGATATATAGGTGTCCATCTGGAAATCATAAATATTGTATCATTATAAATAGTAATTTGTCCAGCTGAACACTTATATATCTTTTAAATATACTATTGAAAATAGTGCATGGGTAACAAGTCATGCCCAAAGTTTGAATATTACATAAATTTCGATCAAAATTCAGATATATTTCAGACATTTTTCTCTTTTGGCTTGTTAATATAAGATTAATGTGTATTCTTTTGGTACAAATAATAAATAACTTTGAAATTTTCTCAATATTCAAGTTTAAATAGTTTAACGGTAATCTGTGATGGAATTAAATCTGTTTTAATAATGTGTATCAAATCAAATTAACATAGGTATAGAGGTATGTCAAACAGATGGAGCAGGTGCAATAAAATCGGAAATCATTTTCTTGTGCGCACACAAAACATGTTTTTTTTTTTTTAGGCAAGAAAGGAAAATATAGATATGGACTAGTTTTATTATTCATTGTGGCATTCCCAGCAGCACCTGTTTTGGTCGAAATGATACTCCCGCAGCTAAAAAGTAAAGTAATCCATTTTGTTTGACCATTTTTGCTTTAGTTCATTAGAATTATGATCTTTTTCTAAACAAAAATTCACCAATCCAAGAAAAAAAAAAGCATAATAATACCACTTAGTAATATTTTTGGATTCATTGTACATCTTTATTAAATACTAATACGCAAAAAAAAAACGTAGCCCACCAGTAGATAGATAACCAATTTATGAATGGTAATGATCACAACGACAATAGAGAAAAGGATACTAACAATACTGGCATTCGAGAAAGTATACTGTGCCAAAATAGTGTCCCTGAAGGAAAGAATCAAGTTAAACAACGAACTGGAACACTATTCTTTCCATTTTTCCCTTTTGTACAAAGTAATGATCCACTGTTGATGACATAATACACACGATTACACAACTAGGCTAATCACCAGCCCTCGATTTCGCATACTGGTGTTACGAGAGAACAGTTGCAGACCAACTTGGTTGCCTCAAGAATTCTGACAAGGAGACATTCAAGTATGAAAAACAAACTTGTCCAAGGGTGATAGCCGTACTTTCTATTGCCCGAGAGATGGAGAAGAAGTAAGATGTGAGTTCTAGAGATATTTGGCTTCAATCTCTTCCAAAGTGAGCCCCTTTGTCTCTGGTATGATGAAGAAGATGAATACAAGAGACAAAACAGCTATGCCACCAAAGATGAAAAATACAGTTCCGGCCCCCAGTAAGTCCTGCAATTAGGAGTAACCAAAAATATAATTTCTCTCAGACATATTTGTTAATTCTGACTCGTAGTTGATTTTCTTAGATGACACCCATTTTTAAGCCAAATAATGCCACTAAAATAAACATAAGTTGGAAAAAGGGTGGGGACCCAAGAGAGAATTGCCTTGAATGCATAATCCATCAGTGATGTTGTTTGGACTCTTCAAAAATCTCCGGCTGTGTGTCAGATCATTCAGTAATGCATTTTTCTAAGCTCCAACACAGGGGAGGTAGTATTTTTGGAGAGATCAAGCAACATAGTCCACCAATACCTTGTCAACTAAGATGAACGACTTCCAGATGACATAAAGTTGTATGGACCAATTACATCACCAGTTCTAGATGATATAAACTCATATGAAGAAATTGCATCACCTATGGCCAATTTATCATGGAGCCACTTAAAAGAAGGTGTCTCCAAAGCAATCAACAATTTGGGCGCTAGACCAAACAATCTTGTACAATTATACTTCACATCGGAAAACCCTATAATTTTATCCATTAACAATCATAACCATGCTTACATGAGGTGTCAATTCTGTCTTCAATCTTCAGTCTAACAAATAAAAGAAATTATCCTCCGCTCTAATTTAATACTGCTGGAAAGATCCAATACTGTAACTGAAATCTTAATTTAATCTAAGTATCATGATGGGTACTCTACCTCCCCAGACCCCACTTATGGGATTACACTGGGTATGTTGTTGTTGTATCATGATGGGTACTCGTACATTTAATTACTTCTGATGTTTGTCACGACTCAGAAGTCATTTTAGACCTGAATGTTAGTGCAGGGACAAGTGTAAGAGTAAGAGAGCATCTAGCTTAAAGAACCCCATTTAGTATTGAGGTGAACTGTGTCCTGATAGAGCAAAATAGATGAAGTATGTACCCTACCCCTATTAGTTCTGGATTAAGGTATTATGATTAATCAATATATTGTGACTGGCACTCACTTTTAGTATTCTTGGAGTGAGATTCCAAAATTGAAGAGACAAGTGATTTGATTTCGAAAGCTCAACCACTAATGCAGGCAGATTCTAATCAGCAGCAGATGTACTCTGACAACGAGACTTTGCCAGTATTAGCACCCTAATAGACTCACTATCCTCCTTTTATCTTCCATTAATTGCACGGAATACATTGTCAAATATTCAAATTTACTATTAAGATATAATCTATTAGAACTAAAGATGTACAATATCTGCACATTCAAGTACATAACAAGCTTGAAGATACTCCAGGTTGGAACAAAAAAATCCAAACTTGTGTGACAGGCAAAAGAGATGCATCCTAATGGATACTATTTAGTTCTGTATGGTAAAAGGAATATATTATATGACTTTCTAAGAGTACCAATTTCAAGTATCTGATTTCACCCTCTATCCTTTTCATCTTTTATCTTTTCAAGATTAGGCTTAAAATGAAAATTAAAAAAACTCCTCGAATGAATAGACAACAGACTAACCTTCACAAATCACAATAACATGCCTCAAAGTTGCTTTTAAGGGAATTCTTTAACAGAGTAAGTGCAAAAATATTATTTAGAAATTCCAGAGTATTAAAGAGTTTTCAGTACCTGAAGAGGAGAAAATGCAAATGCCACTAGTGCATTTGCACCAAAATTCACAAGAACTGTAATACTCAACCCTCGCCCTCTAACGCGCAAGGGAAAGATCTCTGAGATCATCAACCAACCAATAGGACCAAATGATAACTGCAAAAGATGACTTCAAGAAGTTAAGAGCAATGCAGTACTTGGTCAAGCTTCAAAAACCAAAACAAGCTGGATAGAGATGCTGTGGATTCTTTCTTTCTTTTGTGGCTCAAGGAATCTTATAGTTAGACAAAATAAGTCATGATAAAAGGCAAGAGGATCGATTACAAAACCATAGGCCAGAATATCGTACTATTTTTTTCTAAAATCTAAAATAGCACACACGAATCACAGAAAGAATTGCAGATGTTATCTTGGTACAATCAATACACCAAAGTAGAATATGTCCACAACCTCACTTCTTTGGAACAAACCAGAAAGTACTACTGTTTTGGGGTTCACCCTGTTACAAACTAATACCTTAGAAAAGAATGGAACAAGTCTTTCAAATTCTTTGTCCCAAATGTTCTTGACTTTTTGGACATAGACATATACATAGTAGATTAACAATAGGAAAAAATTATCATAATTTCAATGGATAGACATAAGACTAGCACGAGAGTTTTGTGGGAGACTTGATGCTTTTGAAACATACTCAACAAAGCCCCAAGTTTCCTTTTAATTCTATAACATAATTCTTACGCAAGGCAATAGTGGATTAAAAAATACTTTCTAGTACCTCAGTAATTAACTTTCAGATACTTTTTTCTTCTACAGATCTATGATCTAATTTCATGATCTGCAAAACAATGGTGCCTAATGGTCATAAATTGGTCTCCTACCTTTTTCCTTTTCATAACCTCTGCTAGAATAAGGGAACAGTGCAAGGGACTGCAGGAAGGAGAAGACACACTCACATGGAAAAGACATAGTAAAGGGGTTTACACAGTGAGCTCTGCATACAAAGGCCTGAATCAAGAGGGATCACAGATCAGTTACTTGCGTTGGAAACTTATATGGGAAGCAAAGGTACCATACAAAGTGGCATGTTTCACTTGGTTGGTTTTGAGGGAAGTTATTCTTACTCAGGATTATCTAAGATATAGGGGATTTCAACTTTGTTCAAGATGTTATTTATGTGGACAAAATGCAGAGATATTTAGACTTCTGTTTCTATACTGCGAAGTGACCGGCCAGTTATGGGATCGGTTTTATTAACCTCAGAGGTATCAGGTGGGAAATGCCAAGAAGAACCTCTGAAGTCTTGACAAGATGGAGCACAGAGGGTAAATGCAGCACAAACAAAGACAGATGGAAAATTGTCTCAGCAACAATTTGGTGGACAAAATGGAAGGAGAGAACTCGAGGTGTTTTGAAGATACAAGCAACCCCTTGCAAAGAATCAAAAATGAATTATATTCTTCTGTTTTGCTTTTGGTGTAAGTCAGAACATATAAACGATCCAGTTTTAATTATTGACATTCTAGGTTCCTTGTAAGAAGAGCAAGAGTTGATCTTTAGTTTCTGCTTTTGTCTGGATCCTCGGATGTAACACTCTCATTTTTTGTCTGATGATTTATATACAGATTTTGTTACCTTCTCAAAAAAAAGTTCTGCTAGTGGAAGATCACTGAAAAGAAGAAGAAACATCTAATCTCAACAAACCATTTCAACCTAGTTACCAATAAGATTAGACTATTTCAAAGTCTGCTGAAAGTTTCAGGTGATGAACATTCACAACGTCCAAATAAATAATTTCCACCATACCAGTGGGGTAAAAGATGAGCAAAGGTTGTTGCTTACTCTTCAAAAAAAGAAAAAATCTAGAATTACTGCATCTAATAAAATTTGTGCAAAGTTGAACTTCAATTTTATCTTCCTCAAAAAAATAAAATGTGCACAAAAATCATGATGTTA